TAGGCCAGAGACACAAATTTAGTACTGTTCAGCAAAGAGATGGTACTTAAGGCTATGGCTCTGTACAGATTGTACAGATAGAGAAAAGAGAAAAAGGCCCAGGCCCAAGTATTGAAGTGTTTCAATACTTCAAAGCTGAGCAAAGGAGGGGCCAAGATAAAAGGCTGAAATGGACTGGTTGTGGGGTAGGAGGAAACTTAAGAAGTGTGATGTCAGAGTATACAAGAGAAAAAAGAATTTCAGGAAGACGGGAAGTAGTTGTTAATGTCACATTCTTCAGAAAGCCTGAGTGATAACAGAACAGAGAAATGTCAGTTGCATGTAAGAAAAGATAAGCCACTAGATTAGGAAAAAATGCTTTAGAATGGAATGCACAATTGTTGAATTTTAAATCTCCATCAAGTCTGTGTCTTTATGAATTGGAAAGACAAACACAAGGCATCCTCCACTAGCTCAAAGGAGAATAGAGAACATCAAAGTGACTCAAATGATGAATCCAGATATTAGTAGGAATACCTAAGAGAAAGAACAGAGCAAATGAAGAACTGATCATCAAAGAAAAAGTAGAAGAAAATGTCCCTGAACCAAATAAACACTGAAGCTTCCAGATAAAAAGGGCTTAAAGAATACCAGACAAAAATTAAATAAATGACATGTACTTTTTGATATAATCTACTGAAATTTTTTCAGTTAGTCTGTCACTGTAGATTTATTAAGCTTCAGCTATGTGTTACACATAAATAGAATAATATGTCTATAGGCTAATCAGAGCAGGAGAAAAATGAGTTACGTTTTTTTTTTTTTTATTTTTTTTTATTTATTTTTTTTTTTTTATGAGTTACGTTTAAATGAAAAAAATCAGATTGCCAGAGTTCTCTGAAAAAATGAAGTCAGGAAGAAAATGAGGTAACATCAAGAGTTTGAAGGGAAAATATTTTAAACTAAAAATCTATATCCAACCATGTTGTTATGTATGTACAAATGCAATGCTCAAGTAACTTTGGAGTATAGATAAAGCCACCCTCTAAGAACAATTATTAGGTTTAAATACTTTTTGCTTTTAAATAAGAAAAAGAAAAACATTTTTAAAAACTGAACATTCAACTCAGAAAGATAGTTGGGAAATTAATTCAATCAATCCAATTAGCAGATGGTAAAGGTAAATATTAAGGAATTATTTCATTGAGTTGATCTTCAATATCTGATATCCTTTCTTCT